TTATTTTTGGGACAGAGCGAGACAGAGCATGAACGGGGGAGGGTCAGAGAGAGGGAGACACAGAATCCGAAACAGGCTCCAGGCTCTGAGTGGTCAGCACAGAGCCCGACGAGGGGCTCGAACTCACGGACCTCGAGATCATGAGCCGAGCCGAAGTTAGATGCTTAACCGACCGAGCCACCCAGACGCCTCAGAACCGGCTCCTTTGTATGTAGGGATCGCTCAGGCAGGCGGGAGAGCCCAAGAGCCAGGTGTGGTTTGGGTACCAGGATGCTACCTGGCCTGGGGGAGAACTGGGGTAGAGTCAGAACGGAACGGAGAGCTCCCTGGGGATGGAGGGGCCGGGGTGAGAGAGCAAGAGTGCCTCCGGCTGCCCAGTGACCTCTCCCGTGACTTGGAGATCATGAGGCGGCTCAGAAACCAGCATGTTTCGGGCTGAGCTCTCGTTGTCCCCCATCTAGTTACATAGACGTTTATTTATTTTTTTATATTTTATTATATTTTATTATATTTATATATATATAAAAATATATATATATATTTATTATATTTTATTATATTTCTTCCCACGCTGCCCAGCTCAGAGAATGGTGGCCTTATCCACCCAGTTACTCAAGCCCCAGGACCCACATCCCTGAGTCCTCCCTTGCCGCCCTCACGTGGGCAAGCCCTGAACGAGCCCTGTGCGCCCTGCTTCGAGATCTGCAGACCCGTCCTCCTCTCTCCATCCCCACCACCAGTGGCGCGGTCTAGGCCATCATCCTCTCTGGCCAAATAAACGGCAGATTCCTCACATGCTTCGGCCTCTCCGACCTCCTCTCACCCTCACCCTCCTCTTTGCTCCCTCTGGTCTGACCTTTGCACTCGCTCTTTCTCTCCCTGGAGTGCTCTCTCTCCTTGCCTCATCCTGTGGACATCACTGTGGCATCAGGACCACTGCCACCTCCCCTGAGCAGTCTTCCCTGATAATCTGAGCGAAAGATCACTCCTACCCTTTATTCTATACCAGTGCATCTTGGCTGATTTTTCTCAAGGACGCTGACCGCTTTCTGGGGTGGCCCTAACTTATTTGTTGTACAGGATGTCTGCTGTCTCCCACTGGAATACAAGCTCCAGGACAACCCCCACTGAGTGTTGGGCCTGATGTGACAATCGAGAGGGAGGAAGGGTGGATCTCATCATTACGTGGTGGATGTCCCGGGAGTCGAGGGTTTGGTCCTGAGTGGGTGGTGACACAGGTTACTCCAGGGTCGGGCTTTTCATGCTCTGCAGGGGAAGCCACTTTGGGATCTCACAGCCCCAAAGATCCACCTTCCCAGCTCTGCACAACTACCCATGAGTCAGCCTCTGGGAGGAGCCCTGGAAAGTCGGTGCCCTCAGGAAGGCCGGGACAGGCCAGTGCCCCAGGGCGTCCTTGGCCCTCTTTGGCACTGCCCTTCTGACCACACCAGCACCCTTCACTCACTAAGGGGCTGTGCCTCCAAGAGCCGGACCAGCCCTTCGCCGCGAGGCCTCTAGTCTGGTTACGGGCCTGCGCCGTGAGTGATGTGCCTCTTGCTCGCCGAACCAGGTGCGAAGGGCAAGTGCTAAGAGGCACTGTGGTGTTCGCCGGGGTGGAGAAGGGAAAATTCAGGCAGTTTCCTCACCTTTCCTCCTCAGCTGCTGTTATTCCCGAGTGAGAGCCAGACCCAAAGAGACGGCTGGAGGTTTGCACACAGGTAGCTCGAGATAGCCATACGGGGAGTGAAGAGAAGGGGGGAGTGAATGGAAGGCTAGCAGCAGGGGCTCATGAGAGACAGGTTTCTTTTCTTTTCTTTTTTAATGTTTATTTATTTGTTTTTGAGAGAGAAAAAGAGCAAGAGAGCTAGCGGGGGAGGGGCGGGGAAAGAGGGAGAGAGAGCATCCCAAGTAGACTCCGTGTTGCTAGCATGGAGCCCGATGCGGGGCTTGATCTCCCAGAACCATGACATCATGACCTGAGCTGAAATCAAGAGCCGGCCGCTTACCGCCTGTGCCACCCAGGGGCCCCTGGAGGTGGTTTTCTGAATCAAGAGGCAGTGGGCGTCAGCTCAAGGCCCAAGAAGGGCAGCGCAGGGGACTGAAGCTGGGCCCGCCCCCAGTGTCAGCCTTCCCCCCCCCCCCCCGCCGCTGCTGGTCCCAAAGGCCACTCCTGGGCATCCTCACCAGGAGGGTGGAGGAAGTGGGGCCTGAGCGCATGGGGAGCAAGAGGAGGGTGGGCCAGGCTGCCCCAGAGTGCCTGGCCGGCAGCTCTCCACATGGGTTTTAAGAATCCCAAGGAACCATTGGCTGGGTTTCAGTACGTCTTCCCCAAGCTCTCCAAACCCCTTTCCTCGATTGTTCTGTTTCTTCCCTTCACATCTCCGATTGGTTCTTAGGCCCAGGCCAGAGTTTTCTGAAGGGTGGAAAGAAGGGCCGTTTCCATTAGCAACCCCAGACCCTGCTGAGTGGGAAGGAGGCTGTCTCCGCTTGCTGAAGAGACCGTCTTTATTCCACTGGATATTCTTTCCTGCTTTCGCAAAGAGTAGCTGGCCATACGTTTGTGGGTCCATTTCTGGGTTCTCTATTCTGTTCCATTGATCCGAGGGTCTGCGTTTGTGCCAGCTTATTTTCTTAAATAAACGTTTTATTTGGGAATAGTTCTAGATTTGTAGAGGTTGCACAGAGTTTCTGTCTGTGGCCGTCACCCAGTCTGCCCCATCATTAACATCCCACGTTACCACGGTACATTTGTCGAAACCAAGAAAACGACGTTGGTACGTTACTGCTAACTGAGTGCCAGACTCTCTTTGGATTTTTCACCCGTCTTTCCACTAGTGTCTCCTTCCAGTTCTAGGATCCAGTCCAGGGTAGCACATTGTTCCCATTTACATACAAATTTATTTCCTTTTTATTTTTTACGGTTGCTAAAATGGGCTCCTACAGTATTTTTTTTAGTCTTAATCTCATCTCTGTGTGAGTCGTACAAATCATCTCATTCCTCTCTAACACTAGACTAGTTAAGAGATAAGATATCTTCAAGCTATCTTAGCAACAACTGAGGGGTGCCCATCTACGCACAGAGAGGCACACACAGAAGGCATCAGCTTGTGCCCAGAAGGGCCCATGTGCCCACTCACAAGCCTGTGGAAACCCTTGGCAAGTATTTGCTGGGAGAGGGAGTGACTGAGGAATGCACGAAAGTCTTCTTCACAGGATGGAGGCTGGAGACGAAGACTTTATAACACGATCCTCCTCTCTCTGTGTCCTTTTTATGTTTTGTTGGGTTTTTTTGGAGAAGAGATCTAAACCATGAAGGCTGGCTGTTTCCTTTGCTGAACTTTCGGTGCTCGCAGAGCTGTTCCCCGAGGCCTCTGGGCGTGGCCTTTGGCTGGTGGCACTTGTCCCTTTGGCTTCTGAGTTCTCTGCGTATCTTGACCCTCCCAGGAAATAGTGGACGAAGAGAGGGGATGGATGTGGCAGTGGCCTCGGTGGTGGCTGCACTTCCCGGTTTCTGGGGTAGATGGAGGGGTTCGGCTCTCCTCCTTCCCTTCCCG